AACAGACATTCTCCCCGAAAAAATGCGAGCTCCAGAGGAATTCCGCTCACAATGAAAGCAATCGCTGGCCAATGTAGAATTTGAATTGCATGAATGCAATGCTGTACTAGACTGCACGACCCTCCTTAACCCTGATTCACTTATTCCCTCCCGTGTGCTCTTTATTTCACTCCCTATTTGGGCTGTGATTTGAGAGCTTGGGCTGTGATTTGAGAGCTTGCCTTCTACGTTGTGCTGCACTATCCCCAGTTTTTACGCCGTTGCTTTAGTCCGTTACGTGTACGTCCTAAGCAGTGACATTTAAAAAAACAAAAACATCACATCCACGAATTATCTTCGTTCATACATTTCCTGCAAACAAATTATATAAACGCACATTCCTGTCTCCATAGGTCTCCATGATGCACAATTCCAGTGGTAGTGTTAGCCCATTGTGGGGGGGCGGGGTTGGGGGGGGCTCGCCCTAAACAGAAATAGTTTGTCTGGAGGCCTCCCCCCCAAATTCAACTGATAAACTCCAAGTGAGTAGACACGACATATATAGACGAGGCATACTGTAGGTATGTCGCAGGATGAGGGAGAGTTTCAGACAAAAAATAAACATGGAGCGAGATGAGAGAGATCGATTTGCTGACTCTTAAACTAAAAAACTAAACTAAACACGTTTTTATTTTACCAAGTAAGCTCCACTGAGCTGCATAGCTCTTTTGTAGAAGCGACCTGGCCACAAATGATAGCTCAACGAAGTGGCTTATCACGTGGAAAGTTATAGCAGCCAAATACTCTAAACGCGTAATGTTGATTCGAAATGTGAAGGGAAACCCGGATGACCCCGGAGAAAAATCCGCGTGGCCACGGAGAGACACGCAAACTCCAAATATACAGCAGGCGTCAGGGTCGGGATTGAACCCACGAACCTCCTGCACACTCGGCGAGGCCGTTAACGTCTCGCTGCTTCAGCGCCCCTATCTTGATATTTAAATTCGCTCATTAGGATTTGAGCTCACGTATGATCTACCCCATGTTTTTTTTTCCAGGAACCTATAAACTGCTTGGGGCCCAAGGCACTTTCTCGGTTTGGCCCATGCCCAGTTCGGGCACGGCGAACGTATCACGATCGTGCGTGGCGTTGTAAGACACGGTGACATTTAGACGCTTTTTAAAATCCGAATCGTGTTGTGCTAAAATGCGTCTGTTTTGTTCGTCGGTTCGAATAACGAGGGGGTTGTGGCACGCGCAATACTGCCAGCGTCTTATCCATTTTTTTGTTCTTGGTATGTCCGGGGTCAAGGATAGAGTTCAATACAGTGGTGTCCGAACGGCATTTCAGTCAATTTCCAATTAGACTGAGACCTTTGAGATGATCAGCGCGGCTGCAGTGGATTAGAGGGGGTATAATTCAAACAGTGACCATAATTTAACCTTGGTGGAGTGAAATTCCTATTATCGGTGCCCCTGTAATGTGTGCTCGTATTAGCTGCCGTTACAATTATCGGTGATCCTGAATCAATCCGTGGATAACCCTGTTATCTGAGCGTTCATTGCTTCTATTCTCCACGCTTACCCATGGACGAGTCACCAGAAGTGACCTCTCTGAAGCACGTAATTCATCTTATTATCCGCACTCTATTGCGGATTGCAGAAGTGATGAATCTACCGTATGACCTGCCCTGTGATGCTATTTAAAAGGTCTATAATTTAATCGATAATGCATTCGCATAAAATAACAGTGTACACCCCTTTGCCAAACCACTGCTGAATGAAGAACTCCCCACGCAATGTCAACCATGGGTTTTATTTGACCATACTTCACCAGGCTGGTCAGTGACGGGTTAATGCAGAGGGGGGCGGGGGGGGAGAGCAGGGGCAGATGTTGGCCATGGTCGGGAATCAAACTCATGTTGCTGGGTGGCGCCAAAGCAGTGCGCTCACCGCCGTGCCGCCGTCTCCCACGACAAAGGGACGTCGACGAATTATAAATTTACGCAGCGCGGAACATGCAGACCTGTTGCCTTCATGGTGCAGAGTGACTCTTCTGTACTGAACATTTAACCAACTACACTACTGTCTCGAAACGAGTGTGTAGAATGCAATACGTTGCGTTGGTAATGCAGATGATTACAGGAATGCACGATATTGCTACAAAGACACGGTAGTGTACATGTGAACGGTCAAACATGTGGCGTGAGTCGCGATTCTAATTTACGATGAAATTAACCTTTCTTCATCTGTTGGCATTGCTTAGAAGCTCGGGCTTTCTACCCCAATCCCCGGTGCGTCGCTTAAACCCAACTGACCAATTATCTTCTCAGCGTCGCTATTAATTAGGGCATTAATGGCCTTGTCGGTGAGAGAAGAGGGCATCATTAATTGACCCGTGACTGGACCACACCGCAATGACATATTGAATGCAGATAATCTATCATAATAAAAGCTGTGATAACTGCAGCTCAATTCGTCATCAAAACACTGAGCCTTCGGCCACTTGGCGTCGCCTTCACAGATACATTATTAAGCACCTCGATAAATTATGAAGCAGCCTCGTCGGGTGTATAGCAAAGGTCCCCCGTATAGCCTTGACACACTGTAGGAGCAAGTACTGTACTGTTAGCGAGCACCTATGAAGGCCGCAACGGTACACGAGGGGGTGGGTAGCCAGAAACCGCACCGACCGCCTTTGTCTCCCTTGTGGCGACATTTACACACCGCGCCAGGTATTAATTTGAGGCTGAGTCGACCTAGGGGAGGCCGAGGACCGATTCAAATAATCGTCACTGGTGGTGTTGGCCGGGTTCGTAGTGCGACAGGCTAACCGCAAAAACCACCGCTCCCCACTGGTCTGGGGCATTGTACAGCGAGCCACTGAGCTTAGCCATTGCCTGGGATTGAACTCAGGAGACTGGAATTCACAGTGCTGTGCGCTAACCACTGCACCACCATTCACCCCCCATAAATATAAAAAAAACATCAACATATCGAAACTAAATAGATAGATGGATTCACCATGCACGTTTGTATGTATGGATGTACGTACGCGTGTACATTCATGTACTGTTGTATGTGTAGTGACAGAACGGTCACTACTGTGTCGGCCCGTACGAGGGCTGGGGGCCCCAAGGGCGTGCCTGGGGGGTCACGTGGTGGAGGGATCCGGACCTTCCCAGAGGTGGGGGAAGTGAGGCGTGTCCTGGGAAGGGAGGCGTGGCCTGGAGAGAGCCAGCCACGCCTGGGCGGAGCCGGCCACGCCAAAGCAGATATAAGCGTGGTGTGAACGCAGAGCGAGGCTGTTGTACTGTACTCCGAAGTGAAGACACCATCGGTCGTCAAGTCCCGAGTCGTCGTCCTGGGCCAGGCAGGCCGTTGCCTGCCTGGTCCAGTCTGTGTCGCGTTCCAGAGTGTTAGTGAGTTGAGGAAGGTGGTCACCACCTCATGTACAGCGTTATGTTACTTACCGTTTAATAAATAGTGTTGCCTCCAAGCTGTGTGTGTGTGCACCTAATTCGAACCCACTACATATGCATTGGTTTCAGATGTATTTATTCATAGTAGAGAGTAGATGAATGGATATGTAAGTGTGTGTGTGTTGTGGGGAGCGGTAGTGTTGCGGTTAGCGCGCTGCGCTACGAACCCAGCGACCCGAGTTAGATTTCCGCTCACGGCCAACACCAGTGACGATTATCTGAACCGGTCCTGGGCCTCCCCTAGATCGACTCAGCCTCAAATAAGTACCTGGTGCGATGTGTAAACTTCGCCACTAGAGAGACAAAGGCGGCCGGGCGTGGTGTTGGCCACCCACCCCCTCGTGTGCCGTGCTGGGTCATAGGTGCTCGCTAACAACACTTGCCCCAACAGTCTGTTTAGGCTATACGGGGGATCTTTGTCTTTGTGTGTGTCTACGAATGAACTAGGAATGTGCGTATGCTTGCGCTGATTGTCAATTTCACGTGTGGGTCTCGGCAAAATAAATGAATACCATCGCGCCTTGTGGCTGCAGTTGACATTAGAGATTGCTGCGAATCCGAGAGAATATGAATCCGCAGGACCGTAGCCTGGGAATGTGACCGCTCAGGGGCCCGGCCAATTTACCAATCCAATCTGTCGCCAGCATCGCAACCGGCGACTAAATAACGAAATGAATTGAAAAGACGTTTCCGACGAGAGCAAAGTACAGGATGAGAATCCCACAAGACGGCAACATGCTGGCTGGAAACTAAAACAAAAGAACGGCGATACAATGGACGTACGCACGCTTTGAACTTAATTTCGCACGCCGTACGTAGCCCCGCGCGCAACACGGGGCTGCTGATGCTGCTGCTGCTACTGTGGTGATTAGCGCAAGGCCGTCATTATAATAAAAATTGGGGGGGGGGGGGGGGGCACATCTCCCCAATATTCAAATATGCTCAAGATGTCCCCCCCCCAATATATTGCTATAAAATATATTTCTGTTTATATGATTGTGGTTATGGTTGTACTTTATTAATCTCTAATCTCTGCCATTACATACAATGAAACAAGAAAAGGTAGCAAAAAAAAACAAAGCAATGTAATACAATACACTATTAGACATTATTGTAAAAAAATAAATAAAAAGTCCATCCTATGTGTTCGTGAATTTTTTTTTATTTTAGGCAGGAAATGGCAGGAAATTCGTTTTCAAATTTAGATTTTTTTTTTTTCCTGGAGAGGGACCCCCAGATCCCCTGGAATATTTGGTCCCCCCCAATGTTGATACCATGGCTACGGCCTTGGATTAGCGTGCTGGACTTCAGAATCACATACACATCTGGCGAGCGTCCTCAAGACTCGAGAGTCGAGAAGGGGTTCCCCTCGTGAGATCCCTCTCGCGGAGTCAACCTTCCGCCAGCAGCGGCGTGAGCAAGAAAGTGCAGGGCTGCGCCTTTGTCCACGTCAAACACGCCGGTGAGTGCACACGGCACGGCCACCCCACGTGACCTGCGAGGTGGAAGGACCCAGGTCCCCGTGGTGCTCTTTGTGTTCCGATTTGTTGTTTTTTCCCCCGCACCTCCGATTAGGACGGTTGGCTACGTACGGTGTGAAGGAAGTCCAACATACGTACGAACGTGGAACCGTGCCTCTTGCAGTCTGGAAATACCAAGACCCACAACGGCCGTGAGTTGCATCCTCCTTTGGTTGTCGCGGTGTGAATCGTTTCCAAGTCCGCAGGGTCTCTGCAGGCGGTGTGAAGTGAGCCGGCCGGTCAAGCAGCCATCGTTCAATGCAAGGGTGGATTACCGCTCGTGTTACTTAACAACAACCACCACCACCACCAACGACAACAACAACAACAGCAGCAGCAGCAGGAGACCGCATGCTGTCCCACCGCTCGGTGGCCCGTGCGGCGCACGGAGGTGTGCAGCGTCGCGTGTTTTGTGCAGAAGCTCCCGTCGGCCTTATCCAGACCACCGGCTCAAAAGAACTAAACGTGTGGCCATTTACCACCCCCCCCCCCCCCCCCGATGTTTATGAAACCACCGCCACCGAAAGTTTGGAGAATGTGACAATCACAACAGGCAGCCTGCTGCTCGTGTTTCCGTTGCGATGGGTTTGCCTCGGTGAATTGCAGATTTGAACTTAACCGATAAACCAAGCGTGACTCTTCTTAAACAAATATAAAATTCAGCGAGGCTTTCCTGGGTAAACAAAGCGCTTTGTGGTCTCTCCGATGTGCGTGTTTTTTCTCGTCTTACCGCCGGTTGTTCGGCACGATGTCTAACGGCACGTGGGCGCCGCGGTGGCGAGATGTCAACTACCTCGCCTGGTACACAGGAGGTCGTGGTTTCGATCTCTAGCCTGACGCCTGCTGCTGTATATTTACTGTTTGCATGTTTTTCTCCCCGTGGTCACGTGTATTTTTCTCCGGGTCCTCCGGGGTCTCCCTCCGCATTTAGACACATACGTTCAGAGTATTTGGCTGCTCTGATCTCCACGTGATAAGCCACTTTGTTGAGCTGTCATTTGTGGCCAGGTTGCTTCTGAAAAATGTCCGACGTTTCCTTCCAAATAGCGAAAAGTTGTAGCCCCTGGAACGGCTTGCTCACCGCCCCTAACTGGCAGGAGAACGTCCACTAGAGGGAGTGCCAGAGAGCCCCCCTGTCTCAGATGATGTGGGAGCATCCCCACACTTTACGCAACCAAGGGGAGATGGTGGGAACTGCTGATGATGGTGGCACTAGTGGAAACTGACTTGGTCTACTGGGGTGGGGAGCTTGTGCAGTCTGGCGCGTTGCTTTTTCCGTTTGCAGATGCATCATCACCTCGCGCTTCACGCGCGCAGCGAGGCGTCGGCGAGAGTGTTGTTGGGGAGTAACGGGGACCTGCGGAGTAGCTTTACAAAAATAATTCACGGCGGTGTATCATCCCGTGAAATAGAAGGCGATAACCGTCGAGAGGCTGGCACTTACCAAATCGCTCGCTCGCTCGCTCCTTCTGACGGGGTTAATCAAATCCAGCGATGGGATTTCTCTTCTGTCTCGCTTTATGAACTTAATGTTCATTGAGAATAGCTTTTCCCCTTTTGGCTGGCAAAAAAACAAGTGTTAAGATGTTAAAACACCAAACTGAAACCTTTTACAAGGAATTATGTCTGCGTTAACCACAATGCTTGTGGTCAGAATGCAAACAAAAAACATACTCTGATAATATATGCAAAAGAAAGCTGTCTCTGGTGTGGACCAATCAGTTTCAAGGACAATGCATATATTATCAGAGTATGTTATTTGTTTGCATTCTGACCACAAGTATTGTGGTTAATGCAGACATTATTCATTGTAAAACGTTTCAGTTTGGTGTTTTAACATCTTAACACCTGTTTTGTTGCCAGAAAAAAATGGGAAACCTTATTCTCATATTTTGGTACTGGCAAAGGAGGTCCCATGATGTTAATGTTTATTGTTTTACAGGTGAAGTGGGGTCAGACAAATTCCATCGCCAATGTGGCATGGGGAGGTCCTCGTCTAGCAATGGAGTGGACAATGAACGGGCTGTAAATTGTTACGATGATATCTGTAAATATTATAAGGTAAAGGTGCAAACCCTGCAATTACTTTCTCGCGCCAATGCTGCCGTTTGTCTGAGGTTGGTGGAACGCAAACGCGATGGAGCCTGTCTTGAGATCATCACCCGCGCGCAAGGGGAAAATAAGGATCCCTTTCAGGCAGTACAGCAGATGGGATCCGCGCGACGTTTTCGTACGCGATGTTGTTTCAAACTACGGGGGGTAGGGTGTGGGCTAGAGCTGAGTGTTTTCTCAAGCACGACCCCCCCCCCCCCCTTCGTGTAGGTCACCGGCAAGAGATTGTGGCTGCATCGACACGCTGTGCCGCGATGTGGCGATTCGTATCGCGCGCTCGTGCTGCGCTCGTCTTTACTCTCGGGTTGTGCAGCAGGAGCAGCGGCGGTTGTGCGCGTGACTCGACATGCGCCACGCCATGGGTCGAGGAGGAGGTGGTGGTGGTGGTGGCATCGTCGAATTTCAAAGTGTAATTTTTTTTGCGATTCGAAGTTTCTTCAACGGGAACTTCATCAGCCATTCTAGTTTGTTCAAACGCAGATGGAATCGTGCTGGGAAATTGTTCGCCTCTGCCATTTCTCATGTATCCCACCCACACCCCCATCATCCCCCCCCCCAATCCCCCAGGGAGAATTGCACCGAGTCGGTTTGAAGAGGTTTCAAAGTGCAAGGGGGATTCGCGGAGAGAAAGAGACAGAGGCAGAAAGAGACAGAGAGAGAGGGAGGCAGGGGAGAGAGGCAGAGAGAGGCAGACTTTGACTTTTAAACAACTTTTATTGCCGCCAGCAGCAAATGTACTGGAGGCGATTTCAATATGAAATACAGTCACCAGCAAACAAATGAAAATAAACGCTACAAATCCACGCGCTGTGGCGCTAAAAGCACCGCGCACAACACGAAAGAAAAGTCACGTGGTTGTGGTGTTCATCGCGCACGCCACGGTGACGAGCGAGCGCTTCAGAAGGTGAACACGAGGGTGCCGTCCACGCGGAGAGAGAGGCAGAGAGAGAGGCAGAAGCGACGACGACGACAGATGAATTCAATAATTAATTGACGTCCGAAATTTCACTCCCCCCCACCCCGGGACTGCCTTATGCACAAACACGTGGCGGCGTGAGTTCGATTCAAAAGGGGCCTTTTGCTTTCAACTCAAGTGCCTGATTTCAAACTCCTCTCCTCATTGACTCCCGTGACCTCCATTGTGTTTTAATTTACCAATCGATGGACATTTCAATGGCATTCTACGATACATCCATATCTCTTGACGTCCTCGGCCCAAGTCCTTGGCTCGAAGGCCCTCCATCCCGTCCGATCGTGCACTTTTAAATCGTCTAAATTGAAAACTCGTTGATTTATAGAACTGCTTTTTGTGTTTAGTTCGATGTCCTTCACCCACACGTATGTATGTATGCTGAACTTCTTTCGCACCGTACGTAGCCAACCGTGCTAATCGGTTAGCACGGTTGGCACGATTGACTACGTACGGTGTGAAAGAAGTCCAACATACGAGTAGATCGTGAGTTGTGTGTTTTCCTTAATTTCACCCCGCTGACACCCTGCCTCCCCCAGCCCACATCCTCACCTCCTTCCTTCCTTCATCAAGCGGTGTCTTTCTTGATCCTCTTTCATCACTTACTTACTCGCTCACCTCCTTTGTTTTGCCTTTTCTGGATTATTCTGATTAGACTTCTCCCAATTCCATATTGGGTTGTTTTGACCATACTTCACCACGCCAGTCATTGCGGGGTTGGTGAAGGAGTGGGAGGGAAGGAATGTTTGCCACGACCGGGGATAAACTTACGTCGCCAGGCTTATTGCGCAGTGCGCAAAACCCCGCTGGGCCATCCCTGCCATGACAAACACACCTCGCAGTATTTTGCTGGGAATTACGCAAGGAACGCCGTCTCCCATGTTTTTAGTGGATGTTAAAGATCCTGTGGGATAATTCCTACCATGGCCTAAACATTCCAAGCAGAACACTATGTAGAAAGGAACGGTTCCAAATGAAATCAATGAATGAAGAAAATATGATGAATCTTAAATGTATTATTAAAAGAAGATTCAATAAAATCACTCAATTAAGCAAACATGATTTTCTAAAAAAAATGTGATCATATAAAGTAAAAAAAAACACATCGTTAAGCATTCACAAATGTTGTATATTTATGTATTTATGTTTCTAAAATGGTATACAAATTGTATTATCTATTTTTCGGTGTCAAGTGAAGAGATGAAGAATCCATTCGGAACTCCCACAAAGCAGTGCATCACCCACTCTTTGAGAAAAGGCCCGTGGAAGCAGATGTCCAAGAACTACTTCTGAATTCCCTTTCAGGTGAGCAATCCGCACGATTGGGACTAACTCTTCCACCTTGATGCAGGGCAACTGTAGGTCGCACGGCAGCCCTGACGGATATTTCTAACTCTCGGAGCATGAATTTTGCCACGTCGAGTGCAAAGCCGAATTTATTACGACACTTTCCATTTGTGCGGTCATGTTTTGTGAACGAGCTGTGACAACCAGCTCAGAGGCTTGAGAAGCCGGTTCAATCGAGAGCGGCTCTCTGGATTCGAATCAAGGCGGTGCCAGGTTCGGTGTCCTGACCTCCAGTAATAATTGACAGTATTTTGATCGACTTTTTGTGCCATTAATAGCCGTGTCCTGACATTCACAGGAGCCACCGGTGTCTCGACTGCAAACGAGATTGTGACTCGCAGTGTGCACTTTCTCGCGCACGTTTAAATCACGGGGCCATGAATGGAAAAACGCGAAACGATAACATATGCAACCAATGTAAACAGTGCACATGGACATTCAAATAATTCACCAGTTCTGCGTGTTTCATTTTGAATGTTGCATTACTCACTTGGTGGAGCGGGTAATCAGAAATACGCCAACACAAGTGCTTTTTACAATCGCAATTAAACACATAAGTGGACGTTTGGGAGAAACAGTGAGTTTTAATCCCTGTCAAGGCCAACTCTGCCCATCATCATTGTCATCATCGTCATCATCATCATTGTCATCGTCAACATCAACAATGTCATCATCGTCGTTATCACTGACATCATCATAATCGTAATCATCATGATCATCATCTTCATCAAATTAGCCCCTGAATATTTTGCTTGGGAGTTGGCCTAATGCAGGCAACATGTGATGCGACTAAAAGCGATGGAGACATTCCCGGAAAAATGGACCACGTTTTTTGTTCCGTTATTCATTAGGCTCGATAATGCACCATTTGCTAGAATCCACAAAGTCCAAGGCCTATACAATCATCATATGTCAATTTCAATATTTTCCATTAATTTAGCTCTGAAGTGAATGTTTTTATTTATAACAAAAGACATCCACGTCAAGTAGAGGTGTGGAATCTGCCCGATGTCATTAATACGGAACGGACTGAGCACTGTTTTGATGTTCTGTACAAAAAACTGGAATTCCTGGATTTTTTAAATTATATATGAGGAATGTGTAAATACTGAAAATGACTCATAAAGGCCCCAGCATGCTCTGATTGTTTGGATTTAGGTAGAAAGTCAAAGCTGAGAACGTATTTTTTGCAAATATGTTGCAAAGCTTACCTCAACAATAACAGTGGCTATGATTCCATGGCACCGTGTCCCATCATAAAACGCAAGCTAAGAACGATAACATGACTTGATACACCAACAACACGAACCGTGACAAATCAGCGTGCAAAAAACACATTTCAGGAGTGTCAAAGTGCATGTTTTGTTTTTTTCTCAAATTAACTTAATAGCGGCATTCCACCAGTTAATGGTTAATATTGCGATTGTAAACTCTGCTCTGCCAGGCTGATCTGTAAAGCGGTGAATGTGCAACCCCGCAGTTGCTTGCAACACGCCGCTGCTGTCGGAAGGGTGAAGTGGTCTCCTCCACTCGAGGGAACTCCGCAGAGCCTCAGATCAACAAGACTCCCAATCCCCGCATGCTTTGGGAAAACATCTCGAAGGAGCGTGGCGGTACCCACACTTTACCCCCCCCCACCACCACCAAAGGGACCGTTCATAAATGACGTCACGCGATTTTGGACGATTTTTTACCCCCCCCCCCTCGTCACACGGCGTCACAAATGTCTGACCCCCCCCCCTAGGTGCGTGACGTCATTTATGGACGGCCCCAAACGCGACCCAAGCTACACCGGCTAACTGTGGTGCACGCCCGGCCGTGCCGCTGGTTAGTGGCGTGAGGGTTTCAACGGAGCTCGCCCCCCACCCCTTTCGAGTGCCGCACCGGGAGATTGAACTGACGACCTCTGGATCGAGCGCAAGTCGGCCCGCGGGGAACCGCCGCACCCCGCGGGTGACATCTGCCCGACGGGTGGCCCGCATCGGAGAGAGACTGACTTTTTAAAACAACTTTTATTGCCGCCAGCAGCAACAGCACTGGAGGCGATTTCGATACGAAATACACAAAGTCACCAGCAAACAAATTAAAACAAACGCTACAAATCCACGCGCTGTGGCACTAAATGCACCGCACACAACACGAAAGAAAAGTCACGTGGTAGTGGTGGTGGTGTTCATCGCGCACGCCACGGTGACGAGCGAGCGCTTCAGAAGGTGAACACCACGAGGGTGCCGTCCACGCTGGTACAGAGAGGGGCTCGTCCGGCTCCTCAGCGGAGAGCAAGAGAGAGAGAGAGAGCGAGAGAGAGCAAGAGAGAGAGCAAGAGCGAGAGAGAGAGCGAGAGAGAGAGCGAGAGAGAGAGCGAGAGAGAGCGAGAGACTTGACTTTTAACAATTTTATTCCTCCTGCGCCAATGGCGCCGGAGCCTTTCCGTGCATCAAAACGAACGTACATGCCTTCATGGCAACAACCACACTTCACTGATCGTCACGCAACACATCGCCACCGCATCACAGTCAATGTCCGGTGTGCGCGTCGTCCAGGTTCCGGCGCAAATTGCACTGAAACAAGTCCAAGTGCATTCGGCGTGATCATCTCATGGCGATACCAAGCACTGCTCAGCCATCGCGCACCACATCGCCACCGCCTCACAGTCAGTGTCCGATGTCATTCCGGGCTTTGACACCCTTTCGCCTGGCAGGGCTTCTCCTACCATGACATCCCCTCCACTCCCACCTCCTCACCCCCCCCCCCGGCTGGCGGCGGCGGCGGTAGTGGCGTCGCCCTCAACGCCTCGGGGGAGAAGGGGGTGGCGGGGGGGGATGGTGTCTGTTTCCGGACCTTGCTCATCAAAGCTTTGACCCGGAAAATTTCCTGGCGACTGTACCCAAAAGTACTCGGGTCCTGGACCACCCGCTGGGCCGTTCTCATGAATTTCTTTCTATTCGGGAAGCTGTCCCGCACGTGGATGTTTCGCCTCCCGTATGACCATTTTAGGAAGCCGAGGAGATACTCGGGGGAGCACTCCATCTCGGCCATCGGAGGCCAGGCCCTCGGTCTCTCCCTCCATCCCGTTGGGGCGCCACCGCTGACGGCGCTCACCCCGCTCCCCTGCGACGACGAGGCAGGCGAGGCCGGGTCCGGCTGCTTCGCTCCCTCGGTCGCCGCCTTCACCCGCGCGTCACCGCTGGCCTTCATGGCCTCCCTCTCCTTGACCTCCCTCGCCCAGGCTATCCTCTCGTCTTCTTCCTCTTCGTCTTCGTCCACCAAAAAGGAGGGGAACAGCCCCGATTTGTCCATTATTTCCGCTATCCGTTCGATCTCTTGAACGCCGAAACCATACTTATGTGGCTCAAACCTCACGTCCACTACCACCCCCGCAAGGGAGTACCTTCCGGGGAAAGCTTTTGCCAGCTCCCTCGCCACATTCCCCTTTTTCTCTTTTTCCGCCGTCCTCCACCACCGGAGGAGGGTTTCGGGCGTGCATTCCCCAGGCTTAGCCTGCTCCCTTCTCCAGCCTCCAAGCTTTTGGGGGTACGCCCTCCCGTCCAAATCGTTCTCCAGGTCATCACCATGAGCTTTCCCGTCGTCTCCAACCCACCCTCCGGTATCTGCCGACGTTCCGGGAACGGGGACCTCACCAGGCTCCGTCCTGAGTGCAGGCAACCTCCTCCAGCCCATCGGTCTCTTGATCCGTTCCGTGGCAGGGGGGGGGGTTGCCTTTAAAGGGGACAAAATTGCACGGCACCCAGCTTGCATCCGTGACAATCAATGTCCCTTCTCTGAACTCTGTCTGAGGAGCTGGGGTCGAAGCCGGCCATTGCGCCCTCTTGGTCGTCACCACCACCAGGCGCGCGCCGCTATCGGCCTCCATCGCTTCTCCTTCCACCTCCACTGAGCAGCCGATCTGCTCGGTGGCGCCTTCCCCATCAGTTACCTTGGGCTCCTCATTCTCCCTCCCGTCATCCGTCAGGGTAGACGAGGTGGGGGGGTCCGAGCTGTAATGCCGCACAGCACAGAGCTTGCGCTGGCGGTGGTCGGCAACCTTTCCTCTCCCGTCGCCGGGGTGAGCGAGGCCTGCCTCGACGATCGCGCTCCCAGCTCGATCACGTTCGCTGGGTTCGCGTCGGCAGAGGTTCCCACGACCCTTTTCCCCGGCTTCACCGAGCGCGAACGCTTCCCCTTGGATTTCCTCGACCTCTTCCCGCCACCACTCAGGCCGGACGAGGGGGAACTCCTTGGAGCCAGGACGCCGCCCGGCACACCAACGACGTCGGCGGCAGCCTCCGTCTTCTCTCTCTCTCGCGCTGGAACGGGCGAGGCCGGAAACAGCCGGGGCGCTCCTCCTGTCGTCACCGCCAGGTGCGCGCCGCTGGCAGTCTCCACGGCCTCCCCCTCCTTACCCACCGAGCAACTGGCTCGTTCGGCGGCACAGTCCTCCTCCTCGACCACATCGGGCTCCACGCTCCCTTCCCGGCCACCCGTCGGGCCGTGTGAAGGGTGGCTTCCCGGAGCTGCGTCGTCGCTCGGCACCACGCTGGTGCTGGCGGCAGCTGCTGGCTCCTCTCCCTCCGTCGCAGGGGTGGGTGGGGCCGAGCCCGGCAAACGCGCTTTCGGCTCGCTCACGCCCGCCGAGTCTACGTTGTCAGTGGCCTCCATAGCTTCCCCCCTTGTATCCTCCGGACAGCCAGCCGGCCGACCGATGTCGCCGGCTGTGGCTGGCCTCTTGAACTGATCCGTCTGCCCGTTTCCGCGCCTCCTCCTCTTCCTCCTGGCGCTCTTAATGACGGCAGCCCCATCGCTCTCGGCACCCTCGTGAGGATCCGACTCCCCGTGCTCCGGCACGGGCTCGGCACCACCACTCTGCTGCTGTTGTTCCTGCTGCAGTGGCGGCACCTGTGATGGCTGCTGCTGCTGAAGCTGCTCCCGCTGCTCCCGCTGCTGCTGCTGGCCCTGCAGCTGCTGCTGCTGTTGCTGCTGTTGCTGCGGTGACGTCTGCTGCGGGTGCTCACGCTGCCGCTGCTGCGTCTCGTGCTGCTCGCGCTGTTGCTGCTGTTGTTGTCGCTGCAGCATCGGCGTTGTCTCCTTCGTTGCAGCTCCACTCGGCTTCGTTCCGGTGGAGCAGTTCTTTCTCAGATGCCCGGCACCACCACACGCGTAGCAGCGTGGCACGGCCGTGGCCAGGTATATCGTATGGACGCGGCCACCAGCGGCACGTTTGATGGCCACGTCCAGTTCGGCACACCCACTCTTAAGCACGAGGAACGCCTGCCGTTGGCCTGACAGGACATGCCTCAGTTCCTTCCTTTGCGTTCTTATATGCAGCAGGACGATGGGCGACACTACCACGCCGTAGCGTTGCAGTTCCTCCCTTAGCTCTGCGTTCGTGAAGTATGGTGGCGCGCCGGAGATGGTCACCCGAACAGCCGGTGTAGAGAGCGGGCTGCATTGCTCGAGCAGCCCCCCCTCCCCTCCGACGCTGAGTCCCCTCTCGACGACACGCGCCGCCACCTCCACCGTGGCCACGTAGACCACGTAGCCCCGATTCTCCCTCTGGATTATTCGGATGGCCGCCGGCCCGGTGTGCGCCGCCACCGCCTCAGCGACGTCGTCGAGCGACGTCCCCAGCGGAGGGAAGCAGCGAAACCCGTGCCGATCTGTGAGGGCCTCCATGCTGCCAGGCTGAGCCATGGTGCTTGCATGGCCGCAGCGCAGTGGCAGCGAAAAATAATCGTAGAAAAAAATAAAAAGGTGATAATAAAAGTAATAACCCCCACACAAAACAAACACACAACACACACCCGAAACCAACCACCAGACAGACAGACAAACACACACACGCACAGACAAGCACACACATGCGCAGGACAAACACACAGACGAACACACACACGACCGAACTAACAAGCAAACAAACGAAACCGAACAATCAAACAAACATACAAATAAACAAAACGACAGATAAACGAACAAACGCACGCACAAGCAAACACACAAGCAAACAAACACACAGACAAAACACTCACCAAACAGACTAACAGGCCAAACACACGCGGTGTTAAACCAGGTAAAAAAAACAACAGGCCAACACACAAACCGACCAGCCAAGCAGACAAACAAACAAAACAAACACACAACACAGACAAACACACAAGCAACAGTAGTAATAAAAAACTGTTACTACAGCAGGCTGACACCCGGGGAGAAAAACCAGAATAAACTAGCGTTTTTCCCTAGTTCACTCTCCCTAGGCCAGGCTCAGGCTCACACCTGAGCCCAGGCCTCCACCCACACACACGTTAGAGCAGGAGCTCCAGGTGCACACAGCCGCACCCCACGGTGGCGAGAGAGAGAGAGCGAGAGAGTGAGCGAGAGAGAGAGAGAGCGCGTGTCGATGCCCAGAAGAATGTCTCCTCCAGTGCCAATGTCTGCGTCAATTCCCTCCCCCGGCCGCACGATCGCAGCCCGCGCAATAAATGTGTGCCGGACAACAATAAGTAATATTTAAAATAAATAAAATTTAAACACTGCTTTTATGAAATGTACTAGCAATGGAAGAACTCCACGACTCCAGGAAGTGGCCCCGAAGCTTGCCATAACGTAAGGGACCGTGGGCAATTACAGCCAACGTCAGTTGACCTGGACAATTAGACCCAAGCCGAAACATAACAGAACA